GTTGTTCACGAACGCACATTCATACGTTCAACTTCATAGTTAGTGAATGATACGCGAATATCATTTGTTTTTACAAATAGAACATGAACTTGAATGACATTTATATTTTTAATGAATTTGAATGATTTTTWAGACATTCAAATGATTTACTATTTTATAAGTATATATGTAATATTTAATATAATTTAGAAAATAAATATGCTCTTAAGTCTAAATTGTGTTTTAATTTTTGGGTTAAGTCCTATAGGTTCATGGGTTTTCATACCAACTGCTGGTAAACAATTTCATAGTAAAAAATATAAATTGAATGACCAAATGAACTTTTTCATTATTTTCAATGAACGCATCCGTTAAAAAAAAAAAATACATGAATGCGAATGAATTCAATTTTTTAGTGAATATTCCGAACACCTGATATAAGTAATTAATTAAGAAATAATTGAACAACAAAATATCAAAACTGCCAACTTCTAGTCTACCAATTTTCTATTCACTTTTGTTTTAGAATCTTATTGTAATAAATTTCTATGTTATTTTCATTGCTAAACAATTACTTTTTTTCATTAACATAATAACTAAAAAGCATTRAAATAATTTCCTTATGCTTAATTAAATATAATATTCTTACACTTCATAGTCAGAAACATCAGTTTCCATAACAGCAGATAACTTTTTATGTAAGCCTAATATTATGGAATTCAACATTTTAATTTCTTGATTTTTTTCTGCTAATAAATGGGCTTCTAAAAATAAAAATAATTAATCTGACTCAAATGTAAACAAAAACTAAAGTACAAAATAATATATTACCAGATTTATCTGTTTTTTCTTGATCATTATTATTTTTGGTTTTCTCTGTATCCTTTAACTTCCAAGAATTCAGCTAAACTTATAAAAATTTAGATTAGTTTTTTTTTATTTAATATCATTCAAAATTATAATTAGACATCATAGTAGTTATTAGTTTATTACAAATAAAGATATTTCTCTATAAACTTATCTGGTCAATCTTTAAACACAGAAAATTCTAATAAACCTATAAAGTAGTATCACAGAGAGATTATTTTTACTATGTTCAATAAATAATAATAAGTTATTATCTATTATATTTTGTAAAAGTATACACTTAAGATATAAATGAAAAGCTCCATCCAGGCCAAGAAACATTTGTTTCAGACATTGTTTTCTACAAATATTTATAGTACTGCTTATTACGGGAAATCAGAAACATTGTCGAAGACAAATTATTCTTTAATCTGGGCAAAGTTTAACTTTATGATTGTGTGCACACTTCTGTAAATATTTTTTTATCATRAATTGACATTACTCATACTAACCTCAGTTTGCAACACTAAGATTTGATTTTCTTTAATTTTTAAATTATTATAAGTTTCTTCATATTTTTTTTCAATATTATATTTTTCTTGCCTGCCAACAAATAAATAAAATAAAACCATTTTAACAATTATTAATTTAAATATTATATTTAGTCAACTAACATAGCATTATGATTCTTYTGAAGTAGATTACTGTCACTTTCAATACGTTCATTCAAACGATGGTTTTCATCTGTTAGTTCTTGAATACGGAATTCCAAATGAGATTGAGCATTATGACTCTTTTCACTAAAACAAAAATATCAGAGAAAATAATAATAAATAATTGGCTTATGATACTGAACAAACAAATGTATTTTTTTTATTAATGATACCCTCGGCAACATGGGCCATTGGGTTTAAAGTGAGAAATATATGCAAATGTATTTATTTTATAATTCATATGCAAATTCTATTGTTATTTGATATTTAATTTTAATATTTTTACTCACACTAAAGTTTTTAACTGATTTAATTCATCATTGCAAGAAACAGCAGGCTTTTCTTGAGACATTTGAGTTTTTAGATTTTGGATTTCATGGTTCTTTTCATTTAGTGTTGATCGTAGCCCAGAACATTCAATCTGTAGTTCATCAATTTGTTTTTGGATGTTTAATTTTTCACCATTTAATCGCTCTGATTCAGCAATAGTTTTAGCCGTTAGTTCAGCATTGAGATCTTGTTGTTTTTCAATAGTTTTAGTCATATCTTCTTGCATATTAATTTTAGATACTTCTAATAACTCCAAATCAGTTTTATGTTGTAATACAGTTTTTTCCAATTCAGTTTTCAATGTTTCTAAATTCAATACCTGTAATTTCTCCTTTTCTAATTCGTTAATAATAGATTCTAACTTGAACATTAATTCTTTTTCTGTATTATTTTCTGCAAACTCATGTAATTGGTTTTTCAATATTTTAATTTCTGTATTTTTTTCATCTAAACAAGATTTAATACGTGTTTCAAATATTATCTTTTCTGCATTTAATTTATCTTCYGCAATCTTCACAAGCTCGTTGGTTTCATTTTCTTTTTCTTTGAGTCTCGCATTAAACTCGTCCTTGGTCTGCACTATAAGACTGTTTAATAGTTCAATCTTTGAATTATTATCATCTATGATTTTAGTTTTTTCTTCAACAATGTTCTTCAACTCTATTATATCATGTTCTTGATTTTTGTAAACCTCCAATTGTTTTTCCAAATTTGATTTTGAACTTTTCAAGCTATTAAGTTTTTCCATAAGATTGGAGATTTCATTAATTTTTTCATCCAACATGAGCATACTATGTTTTTCTAATACTAATTTTT